TGGTGGGGGTCACAGGGGTGACTGGGGTGGGTGGCATGCTGGAGTCACTGAGGCTCATCTGGCTCTGTTCAGAGGGGCCACTGCTGAGGACCTTCACTGAACTCTCCTTGCTATTGGACTTCTGTAGGCAGGAGATAAAGAGAAATTCAAGTGCAGATTTAACCATGGTATGCTAAGGAAGGTGTGACCCCTGTGGTTTCTGATGCTCTGAGGTGAAGGAAGGCCTCACGGCCTCCGCTGAAACTGCTAAGTCAGGCTCTCTCAGCAGGTCACTTACCACCTTAGAGGAGGGCTTAGGTTTTTGCTGAAGGGCTTTTCTGGCTTTCGCTGCTGCTGCTTGTGCCTGGTGAATCCGCTCTGTAAACAAGAGTGATAAGCTTCAACGACTGTTTAACCTCAGCAAAGTAAGGAGGATGGTTTCATTAAGAGCCAAGGCCCCACTGGAGGACCAAGTCCTGCCTCTACAGTCCTGTCCTGCCCAAATGCCAATGAAAAGCGTAATGGAATTGGGGCAGAAAATCACAGCATCCCTAGTCTAGCTGAACACACTGCCCAGAGGCCTCACACACCAAATTCTTCCTCGCTCCTGTCACGGTGCAGGTAGATCCACAGCTTGCGTCCAATGTCATATTTCACACATGGGTCCTTCTCATAGTGCAGCCGATCCAGTGCACCACTCACCACTGTGTTCACCTGAGAACCAGAACAAAGGGAGGAGGGACAGTCAGACTTGGGCACTGGGTGTAAGTCATAGCAGCTACACTGATCCTATCTCAGCCTGGCGATGGCATCCCCAAAACCCACTATGAATCACTTGGCAAAACCAGAAACACTGAGACTCCTGAAAGACGGAGCAGACCTGCCGTCACCTGAAGGAGATGATGACCTAAGACCTCTGGAAGCTGAAGGAAGGCCGAGAGTCAAATTTGTGCCTCACTAACAGCAAGGGTCTTAGGTTATCAGTGTTCACACGTCTTCAGATACCCTTCTTTCCTCCTTTTCATTTAGTTTTTTAAAAACTTATATTTTATATTTTCTTGTAACTTTTCTAAACTCCTTTCTGGAACAAAACAAAAAGAATCCCATCTCCGTCCTACCTGAGTGCTGGTAACATCTGGAGCAAGAAACTGGGAGTCCTTGAGCAATTCGCAGATCTCGGCTCGAGTGCCCTCTCCGTTAGGCAGCCGAGCCGCAGCGTCTCGAACTGATGACGTCAGAAAATGAAAAGCGCAAGAGTCAAGCAGGGCTGCTACAGAGGACACTCTACCTCTCCTTGCTCTGATGGGTCAAGTGCCTGAGGTGTTCTCTGCCTCACTCACTCAGAGCTGGGTGGACAGTGCCCTCTAGGGGCAGCTTCCTATACACTCCTCACACTCAGCCAAGACTGAATATGACACTCAGGACTATCAGAAACAGAGGTAACAAACCATATCCTGGCAGTGCTGTGATGTTGTAACAGAAATTAGGTATTTTCATACCACATTACAGCTGCTGCAGACGACTCAAAATATCATTTTCATGCATCACTATTTGGAAATTACAGGAGGCATAAGGCCTGCTGCTAGATCTTGTAATTTAATGTCATAATAAAAATACATGTATTTCTGCACAAAAAAATGTTTTAATATTTTGATAACTACTTTAATATAACTGGTTTCTCTTGAAACTCTATGCATTTTATTTTATGCATTTAAAGACATAATTCTGAGAAGGGCCCACAGGTTCCACCAGAGCCGGAGATTCGTGACACAAAAAAGGGTTAAAAACTTCATCTTGAAAGGAATCCTAGTCTGGAGGAAGCAAATTCCTATACTCAAGCTCACTATACTCAAGCTTACTATTTAGCTGGCCTGGGAATAATTCCTGAATGAAAATAATCTGGAGCACAGGCTTCAGGAAAGAAACACTGATTCCTGATAACCCTCTGGGGGTAGAATGCCCCTTCCCAAATGCCAAAGCTTCCTAAAGCTACACCTGACCCTCAGTGTTGGGGGGGAGGGGAATAAGAAGTGCAGCTGATCAGAGAAAAAAAAGTGATCCTACCAAGAGACAGGATGGTCACATAGGCAGGCCGGTCAGAGCGCAGCAGGGAGTGCTCCCGAGCCTTGTTCAGTGAGGTCTCCTTATCAAACACACCCTTCACAGGCCCCACTACAGACTCAAAGCCATGCATCCGAAAGGTGAACGCCTTATGGGGTTGGCTGTATCTGTAACGCTCCTATCAACAGAAAAGGGCCAAGTCCCATAAGTCAGAATTGGTGAGGTTCTCTCTAGAGCTCCCATACAATGAAAGACCAAAACAAGAAGGAAACAGACTATTACACTAGGAATATTGAGCCAGCTACAGTGGGAAAGGATGGTTCCCAAAGCCTTCATTACTGGCAAAGGGACAAAAAGGAAAATATAAATGTATTTTGCTATCCAGAAGAAAAGGTCATCAAAACATTTCCCATCCCCTTTCCTCACACCATTTCTGCCCCCCAACAAACAATCCCCACCAAGAGGATATCTAAGGTTGCAGGTGTGAATTTCCTCTAGGAGTGTGGACTCAGGGAGAACCTCTCTGCATGGCCTCACACATGCAGATATGCACACTGGGATCTCTATTTCTTACCTGCTCCTGAAACACTCGTTTCTCCTCCCCTGTACTGGGCCGCACCACGTAGTCAGTTCTTCTGGAACATAAAGAATTTTGGGGAATCTAAAAAAAAAAGCTGAACTCACAAAAAACAGGGATTAGAATGGTAGTTACCAGGGGCTGGTAGATGGGGAAATGGGGAGATGTTAGTCAAAGGGTACAAGCTTCCAGTTATAAGATGAATAAGTTCTGGGGATCTAACACATAGCACAGTGACTACAGTTAATAATACTGCTTCATATAGCTGAAAGCTGCTAAGATAGACCTTATATGTTCTCACCACACGCACAAAATTGGTAATTCTGTGAGGTGATGGATGTGTTAACCTTACTGTGGTAATCATTTCACAATATATACACGTATCAAATCAACACAATATTATACGTCAATTCTATTTCACAAAGCTGGGGGGAAAGGGACCAGAGCTGACTGAGAACAGTCACATGAGATACTGTGACATGAAGAGCTCAGGACTAGAGGTCATACAATGCAGGAGATAAAGGTTCAATTCCCCATCAGGACACATGCCTGGACTGCAGGCTCAATCCTCAGCAGGGGGCGTACAGGAGGCAGCCGATCAATGACTCTCATCACTAATGTTTCTCTCTCTCTCTCCCCCTTGTTCTGTCTCTGAAATCAATAAAAATATATATTTTTAAAAAGAGACCTACACTCTAGCCTCGGTCTTGTCCCAAACCTTCAATGTAACGAAGGCATGAGGCTAAGTGACAACACTGCATGACACCTCAGTTACTTAGCCTCATGCCTGAATTTCTTTATAGATAAAACAAGGAAAGTGGATTGGACAAATCATTCTCAAATGAAAATTGAAGGAGAGGAATTCAGGGAAAAAAGTATGCCCACCTGCAAGGTAGACCACATCCCCCTCAGAACCTCTACTGTGCAATCCCTTCCCTAATTCAGACTCCTTTTCTCAGGGAGCATCTCTTGATGGGAGGCGTCTTGACCTCCTCAGTACACTGAGGCAGGCAAGAATCCATGGACCCCTAGAATCTCTAGAGTCCACAACAGCTCTGACATACTAAGAAATGTTATAAAAGCCACTGCAGTGTCATACATTACGGTTTCACAGGATCCCACCCACCGTTAGAGTAATATACTCACACCCGAGGAACTGGTGTTGTGGCATCTGAGCTGTCTTCATTTTCTTGCTGGAGAAAAAGAAAACATTAACAGTTAAATGAACTCAAGAATTCTGGCTAAAATAAGGGCTCTAGAAACCCAGAGTAAGGAAGAGCAGATATTTCTTTTAAAACCATACCTTACAGAAGGCCTGGTCTTTGGTTTCTAGCCACAGCTGGAAGAGTGCAACTAATTCCTTTTCATTATCTTGGGACTGGCCTATTAGAAGAATTAAAAGGCAAAAAATAATAATGAAACGAACTAAGGTATTCCTCAGAATCCCCCATCTCTTTGCTTATCTCCGCCAGAGAAAGACCCTATAGGCCCTGCAGCAACAGTCCTTTGCATGTACCATCCACTGAGCGGACACTAACCATCTATCACTGCCTGCCTGGACCACCACTCTGGGATGTCCCCTAATTAAATTACTCATCAGTAAGTACTTGCTGAGCTGCCACTGTGCACCACACTGAGCACTGGGTTAGGGCTATTCTGTCAGTTCAGTCTCTTCCCTCACGAAGTTTACAGGCAAGTGAGGAAAGAGCACATATTCAATAAAATCAAAAAGTGGTGGTGTGACAACAGATGTCATAAAAGCTTACCCTAGGGAAGTCACTCTTTCCCTGGGGGGGTCAGAAAAGACTTTGGGGCTAATGAAGGCACAAAGGCATAGCAATGAGAAAGCCAAGGCAGGAGGAAAGCTTGGCTCCCTGACCCGCCTAGAAAGAGATGAGCACTCTACCCCTGTGCCCTCCTCCCCTCCTAACACTGTTCAGACTCCTACTGTAGCACCTCCCACATGATGGTACCTATGTCTCCTGCAAGACTAGAAGCCACAGGGACGAATGTCACCCAGGTGTGCCTGGGTGAGGAAGGCACCCTCTGGGCCTACCCTTCTCACAGGCTGCTGAGATGACCCGCCAGGTCTCTTACCTATTTCTACCAGCCAGAAAAGCTTGGAGCTTTCCCATGGGACAACTCCCCTCACTCCCATTCTGCCTTCTAGAAATGCTACCTCACCCATACAGATGGTCCATCCAATACCCTAACCCCTCAGTTCTGTGACCTCAATGACCTCCTCCCCCCCACTCCACCCCAGCCACTTATCCCCACAATCACAACTGGACTCTACTATTACCTAAAACTGCTTCATCTTCAAAATGCCTAATGCAGTGTTTCTCAACCCTGGCCATACACAAGAATCACTTGGGAACCTTTGAAATACCACAGCTCGGGTCCCATCTAAAGTTAGTCAGAACGTCTGTGGGTAAGGCCTAGGCACCAGTGCTTTTAGAAGTTCCCCTACTGATGGCAGTCCACAGCCAGGGCTCAGAACCTTTCTGCCAATCCACACCTTCTGCCCCCGACCAGTCACCTAGACTTCTTGCTCAACCACTCCCACTAGAACATTACCCTGATGAAAAAGAACCACTCGGCCACTTCTCTGATCTCATCAGCCCCCTCCCTTCATACTTCCTCTGTGTTCAGTTCAGTCTGTGGCCACCATTTCAATTACACCCTTACCGATACCTCTGCTCTTCTATCTGCATCATTCCAACCTGGCAAACCTTAAATTCTACACTATCCATGTTCTCCAGGCTTCAGCTCAGGCAGCTGAGGGCTGCTGGAGAAACACACAAAGGGGTAAAGAACGCCACCACAAATGAATGACGAGCAGCCCCCACTAACCCCAACAACGCCCGGCTATCTAAGGTCATCTCTGGTAAGCTGGTTTCCCATGCTCCTTACTAAGTACTTCCCACTCTTCTCGATCTCCCTTCTCACTCGCAACAGACAAGACAACCTTGCCTCTCTCACCTACTTTAACAGAAAAGCCAACAGATCAAACCCTCTCAAATTCCTGCAATGAAATCTGCCAGCCTACTGCTGTGAATCCATTATTTCTCCCTATTATAAGAAATGTGCTGTCTCCTGCCATCCCAGGCCAGTCCCTTCCCCTCATCTCAGGAATTTATAGTCAATTTTCCCTTCTCTCCTGCATTTGCAACTTCCTCCTTTCCACTGTACCCTTTCCATCAACACTTAGACTCAAACTTTCTCTCATTTAAAAAAATTCCTCTCTTAGCCACAAGTTCCCCTTATAATCCTACCTTCCCCTACTAAAGTTCTAGAGTTGTTTAGATTGTCAATAAAAATAATAAATGGAGCCACTTTCAAACAGACCCAGAGCTGCCATGCCAGACGAAATGCCTTGCAGGTCTTATGCCTTAAACTTTTGAAATGCTAAAACAAGGCAAAATAATCTCTGGACTTGGCCTAAAGAACATTGTGTCCCAAAGAACTGTGTGCAAAGATAACATGAAAGCAGTTATGATGACTCCTGGACTGATGACTACCTGTTACCATCACTATGTTAATGTTAGCTCACCTATACCAAAAGAAACACCTTCCTTCTACTGATCCAATTGTTCCCCTTCCCTTTCTCATAAATACCCACGGCATCTGTCTCCTAAACAGAACACTATCTAGGCTTCTGCCTGAATCAATGCTTACCAAATATTCTTTTTTTTCAATCTCAAATAAATGTTTGTTGCCTCTCACTTTGAAAGGTTTAGATTAACAAGATTCACCGTCTCTCTAACCACTGTGAGCAGTTAAATGTTTCACTGGCCGCGAGAAAGGGAGCCCTGATTGGCAGCATTTGCAGATCTCCATGGGGTGCATTAAGGGTTAGCAAACTGGCCCCCTTGACTTTGTAAAAGAAGTTCTATGGGCACACAGCCATGTCTGTTCATTTACATACTTGTCCATAGCTGCTTTGCACCATGACGGCAGGGCTGAGTAGTTGCACCAGGAAGCATCTGGCCCACAAGCTTACAATACTTATTATCTGGCCCTATAATGTTTGCCACCCTGGCGCCAGTGTCCACCTGGCTGATGTCAAGCACCAGCCTGAGAGCCAGAAGGAGCTGTAGTCAGCTACCATGAGTCGCCTTCACTCACCACAGTCCTTCTCGTCATTCTGCTAGGAATCGCTCTTACAAGAAATTCCTTATTTCTTCTATGCTCACAAGTCCACAGTCTTTATCTTACTGAACTTTTTAGTAACATCAAGACTAACAACCACTCCCCAATTCTCGACTCTACTTACTTAGCTTCCAAGAGCCAGCTATCTCAGGGCTTCCTCCTAACTCTGCAGTTGCTTCTTCTCCATACCCTCCCCCTTCTCCGCCTCTAGTTTCTCAAGGCTCAGTCCTCTGCCCTCCTTTCTCCTAATTTAGCATTTCTCCCTATGCCACTGACTTTAAATACTGTATATGCCAACAACTCTCTGCTGCCACTCTGGATTCTAATCCCATATATCCTACTGCCTACTCAATATCTCCACTTAAATGCCCCAAAGGCAGCTCAAACTCAGCACATCCCAAACTAAACTTATGACCTTCACCTTCACTCAACTCCGGATGTCTTCCACAGCTCCCTGCCTCCATAAAATAACACCCTCATCCATGAAATACAAACCTAACAAAGGGTGCCTGGCAGCACTCTTCCTTCACTCCCACGTCCAAGTCACACCGAGTCCTGTGGCTTCCACCACCTAAAACTTTCTTAAACTTTAGAACCAGATTATCATCACCTCTGTGCAGGCTTGTGTGATCTTTATGAACCAAATCTTCGTTGGCACCACGGACCCACACTGCCCCCTCTACCTGGAATGCCCTTCCTTCCCTTCCGGCTGCCTGGTTCCTTCCTAATCATCATTAATATCTCTGCTCACTTGTTCACTCCTCAGGAAGGACCTTCCTGACTCTACAGACTACACCAATGCCTCGTTATAACTTCTATCCTTTCTGGTATTTTTCCCTTACAGGATGTATAAGTCTGTTATTTCACTTGAATGACTATTTGTTCCCCAGCCAAACCTTAAACCCACAAGAGGAGCACACCGTCTAGCACCTAACACAGTGCCTGACACCTAGAAGCTGAGTGTTATAAGAAGTGATGAATCTACTGCTTTCATAACCACCTCTCCATGTATCTCCTCGTCGACTACTCAAGAGAGTCAAGGGAAAGGTTTATGAGTTTCAATATGAAATCAACACTGATTTTTCTCTCATTACCATCACCAGGAAACAGTCACCAAGTCACTTCAGGTGCACGTTACCACAACCTACACAGTAAGTGGAACTTCATAAACTTAAAACAAAAACAAGGACCCTGATCCTTAAAAGCACTGATTTGGAGCTGCCCGACTTCTTGCTGCACATTCTCCTCCATAGCAAAGGCCTTTTTAGGAAAGAAAAATAACTACATTATTACAAATTGATCTAAAGCCATAGGTACAATTAATATAAACATATTTAAAGTTAGCCAGCACCAGAGTGCATTGTAACGAAAGGGCTATTCCAGTCCAGCCTCGGTGAGCCCAAATCCAATGGAGGGATGGAGGGGGTGGAATTCAGACCCTAAGTACTAATGGGGTCATGAAGGAGTCCTTTACTGAGCAACGAAGATGTAATACTACCCTTTCCAACCTTCTACCGGACACTACTACTAAATGGAAGGCAAAGGAAGCTTAAGGCAGGAAGTGACAGAATGAAAACCTAGTGTCATGTGTAGATAATACAAGTTACTTACCAAGCAACTTCCACTGCTGGGTTTTCTCTTTGAATTCAACAAATGGAGAGAAACTGGAAGGTACGGCTGCAAGAAACAGACATGAACAAGCCACACAGGTCAGAGAGAGTGCTAAACTTAGAACAATTAACAGCCCTGAGCTCTGAGATAACCTCTGAATGTTTCCCAGTGTATCAGGCTAGCAGAGACCTCTAAGGCACGATACTGTGCAAAGTCATGATGCCTCTAACCAGTAAAGCTGTTCACTATGAGAACTAATTAGACAGAGTAGGGGAATACTGACCCTACAAGAAAAAAGTACGTTACCACGGCTTTCTCCAGCAAGATACTGCAGGGCTGGTAACACCAACTCTGCCCAGTTGGGGGCTGCAGAGAACCAGCTATTGAGGGAGCTGGCCGGAGATGACTGCCAGTCCAAAACCCGCTCCTCTAGCTGCAGGAGAGCAAAGGCAAAACCAGTCAAATTCCTGTAATCCACCAGCAATTCCACAGTTGTCCATGCCACAAAGCAAGTTAGCCGCAGGGCTTTGGGAGCAACCCAGAGTCCTGCTTCTCAAGCTACAGATTATTAACATTTCTACAATTAGAAAACTTGGATGTACATCTAACTTTTCCAAAACCCTTACCACAGGAAGGCTAGACTGCCCGTGCAGGAGCAAGATCTCCAGTAGAAGAGAGAAGAAGCTGGAAGATATCTCATTGATTCCAAGGCAAGGCTTGAGGTCTTCAAGAGGCCTAACGAGGGAAGAAAAATGTAAGAACAAGAAAGACCAAGAACACATCCTGAGGTGCTTTAGGCCTCCAGACCTCCTGTCAGTCACAGAAAAGCTCAATAAAGGGCTACACTATGCACCTGCCCTAGCGGGATCCCCAAGACCCCGGGCTTACAGGTCCAACACGAACCAGGCCACACCAAGCACCGGAACTGGGCACACCCTTCACTTCATCTTTCACCCTTGAGCAGTAGGTGCCGTGCTCACTTACTCCTCCTTGATAGCAGGCACTGCCAATGGCGATGGAGCCTGCGAGAGAGGTGGGATCCCCTCAGTACTGCTTAAGGGCTCAGCCAAATCCTCCGCCTCTGATTTGATCATTTTTATTTTCTTCTTCTTTCTCTCCTCTTTTTCCTTCGCCTTTCTTTTAAGGACAGCCAAGTCATACAAGGCTACAAAGAAACAACGACACAATCACAGAGTTGCGTTTTCTACATCAGGAACTGAGCAGTCTCATCTGCATATTATTTTCTCAGGCCCACCAGTGAAAGAAAGGTCTCAAAAATAAGACATTTACTAACCCCAAAGAGTGATTTACAAATTAACTTTAACAGCTATTAAGATGCCAATGCTCTGTTGCTCTGATTCTATATTCATTTTCCATCTATAAATCCCTTAGAGGCAATAACCAAAATAGGTTATCAGCCGAAGCAAGCTGTGATTTCATTTATTTTTCAACATGTAGACAGGTTCACATAACTTAACAGCACAGTCAGATGATGGCTACCTACAGAGGACGTAATTACCTGCTAGAGAACCTTTCCTGCCAGCGTTCACACGAGTCATGATGTCATTGAGAGTGAGGTCCCCGGTCAAAAGGTCCGGGTGATCCTAGATGTGATGTTCAGAGATTTATTATGGAGGCCCAAATACTGAGCTAAAACTGCTGGAGGCTTTGCCAATTTACCTAACAGATAATTAGATGTTATGTACACTTAAGGAAATCATGTTGAATTAAAAATATAGAGATAAAAACTGCTCTTCATAAGGAAGCACAGGAGAACCCAGCCCCAACCTTTCTACCATATGGCATTTAGTGCATAAAGCTCTCGCATTCCTTATCCTATGTGCTCCTCAAATAGTCTTATTAGAGATCCTATTTTACAGTCTGAAAACGGGACTCAGAGAAGTTAAGGGATCTGCCCAATACCAGAGAGCAAGTGAGACAGACAGAACTCAGTTCTGACTCCCACTGGGACTCTTCCCATCTTGCCCCCGTCTTGGACCAACTGCGCTTTCTTCCTCCACCGTGCTCTCGGTCTTGGCCACTGGACCTACCTCGATTAGATGGAGGAGGGACAGAAACAGTCAAGAAAGGGAAGGGCACAGGACCCAACTCGGGTGGCCAGGGAAAACTCCCTAACCTCTCTAAGCTCTGGTGAAATGCATACGATTCATACACCAGTCTTGAGTAAAGGTTAAAGCACACGTTATTTTCAGCATGCCTTATAAAGTCAAAGCACGCGTCTTCTCACATCTTTGGTGTTAACTACCTTCTCTGGTTGTCCTGTCCTCAAACAATGATACAGAGAGAAAGCAGAAATGATCGCAACTACCAGCATCTCCCTCATAATAGCCAATCCAGAGACTTTATAGTGAAAACCCTAACGAGAACACACCCTGCCCCAATCTTACTGGTTGATGTTTCCGCTTCTCATGGTGCTTCTTTAGCATTATCTTCAGGTCACTGTCCCCCAGCTCTATTTTATCTGTGAGAAAATGAACCAAACCACATGCACTAGGTCATTCACAACATATGCTCAAATTTAAATCTTTCTGGTCACTTGTGATATTCAAAAGTAAGATATTTCTCTGAGTTTCCCTTCTGGCTACTGTGCACAAGTACCAACAGTCTTAAAACAGTCACCAGGTCAACTCTTCAGTTTTTCCATACATTAGTCAATAACCATGACCTCAGTTACTTAGCTGCTCTTAACACATGAAAGGTTCTGAACATTCCTCCTTGATTCCTGTCCCAATTAAAAATTCTTCTCTAATTTCACAGATGTTCTAAGAAATTGCTATGGCTCTGGTTACCCCTTTTGTCTTACTATTGAAGCATCCCTTAGTATTGCTATTTTGTTTTAAGATTCTGCTTTCCAAAATACCAGTTGATCAGCTCCTAAGAAAAAAACTTAAAAGCAAAGGAAGGCCTACCTAGCTGTAAAATGTGGAACTGTACAAAAACATCCCCAAGTCTAAGGAACACTGCTTTGTTTTCTGGACAGGTAAGAATCTGGTAACCACCTCCCTCTACGGGAGTCCTCAAATCTACCTCGATTTCCCAGAATGCCAATAGCATCAGCTTAGTTCTCACCTGCAGTTTTCATGTCCGTGGTTGAAAGCGTGGGCACCACCCTCAGGGGCACCGCAGGGCTAGGAGAACGCGCTGGGGAGCTCGGAAGCCATGAGCTGAGATCTTCAAAAGAAAATGTTTCTTGTAAATCCAACGTGGCTGTGGACTCCAATAGGGGAGATTGGGTAAGTGGCCATTTGGGTTCAACAAGGGTAAGCCAACAACATGGAGGCCAGGGTTCCACCATTCCTTTCTGACCCTTCCCCAGGCGACTGGAGCACACTTAGGTCATTTAAACGGCTCTTCCAGGAAGAGAGACTTCAACAGAGTGATGGGGTCGCAATGCAGCAGGCCAACAGCCACTACTACTCTCCTGTAAGGGGAAAAGCAGTTCTCTCAAGTGGCACAAGAGGACCAGACAGGCCTACTGTGGAGAGCCCTGCCATGCAGGGACTCATCTAAACACAGTGCCACTTGAGCATCAAAGGTAAAAAAAGGTATATCGTTACGCCCCATGTAACAGGAATGTCCACCCCCCAGAAAGACAACTGGGATGGCTGCTTTGCTGGGGAGATAAGTGGCTACCACTGGCTCTGAACAAACAACAAACAAGCTCCTGGTATAAACCCAGTACTTCAGCTACCCCGAATGCCCAGGACACTCACCCTCTTCATCAGACGACAGGGCTGTGTCCCCACACTCCTCCTTCACTTCCCTCAAGACCTTCAAGTAGCGCTGCTGGGTCCGCCACTCCCGCTCCTCAGGGGTGCGGGATGGCGAAGGGCGCTTGTGCCGGAGGGAAAGGGCTGGGCCACTCCGACGGGCCATTTCCAGTAGGTCCTGGGAAGAAACAAGGCAGGAACACATCATCAGAAGCTTGATCTGGTACATTCTCTAGATCTACATCTTTTTCTTTCCATTTTCTAACAAGCTCAACTCCTTCCCTCCAGATCACAAAGAAAGATGCACATATGATTATGCCAAATAAAAACAGTCTATTTTGATTATTTCATAGCAAAAATTCTAATACCAAATGTTGAACTGCTCCACCGAAAATGAATACTTATTAAATTAGACACCCAAATGTTACCATACTAAAGCTTAAACCACTTAAAGCCAGAGGGAGGGAGGTACTTTGTCTCAAAAAATTAACAGGCTGGTCCAGCCTGGAGCCCACTGAACTTGGCGCACTACATACCGGTCAAGTCACCCCAAGGCCCATGTACTCTCACACTCCAATTCTAGAGCAACGTGTTTCTCTTAATCAGCCACGATGAAGCTGAAAGCCCTTTCTTTATCTTGGTAAATACTGAAGCTACAATATCTTATCAATTTTAAGAGGTACCTGTTTTAACATCTCTGAAATTGGGATACCTCTTAAAATTGATCATAAGACAGAATAATATAGCTTAATTGTGTCGTGGCGTAATTGGTAGTATTTTTTTTAGTGGCATTTTTTGTATTTTGTACCTGAGCCACTTAAAGTCATGAAATCTGTGCATTCCCTGCCTGTTTTACGTCTGGTTCCCAACATTACTTACACTCCGGGAAGCCAGGATCTGCTTCAGCAGCCGATGGAAATACTGCTGCTGGGAGTTGAGGTATCGCTTGTACTGCGACTTGAAGCAGAGCTGCCGATACTTGACCACCTCGGGGTTAAAGTGTCCATCTTAAAAGAACAGAGGTACGACTATATATTCATCAGTCAACGAATATTTAATGTGTGCTACTAAACCGGAATATAGTGTGGGGGGTGGGGGAGATAACCTTTGTCTATGTGGAGCCTACAGTCCAGTGGGGAAGATGGCAAATAAGCAGGTAAACAAACAAAATTCAACTTTAAGTACTGTAAGGAAATTAACTTCAGAGAATTGTGAAGGTTAAGGAGATTTCAATCAGGAAAGGGATCTCTAAGGAATGATACATAAAATGAAGCCTGATTAAAGCAATTATGGCAAAATATCAACAACTGATAAAAATAGATAATGGGTACGCATGTTTGGTGTATTCTTTTTCAACTTTTATGCATGCCTAAGTTTTCAAAATCTAAAACTGGGAGGAATATAAAGTATATGGGAATTCAAAAAATAAGTAAAAATGGGGAAAAGGCAAAAAGAACAGTATTTGCTAAAGCAGGCCTTGAAGCAAGAAAGGACTTGGCATGTTCCAAAAACGAAAGGAATGTCCAATGACTCAAGCAGAAGAGGTCGTAGCTGAGAGTGGCAAGAAATGACCCAGGAAGGTGGGCTGAGATCATACCACACGGAAACTTCTAGGTCATGGATGGATTTTATCCTAAGTGCAGTGAAAATAACTTTGAGATGGCTGGGAGTGAGAAAGAAAAACCACTGCAGTGGTCTAGGTGAGAGACGACAGTGGCTCGGTCCCATGGTTTCCCTCCATCCGAGAAAAGCCAAGACCTTCAAGACGGCCTACAGGGCCCTTCACAACCTGACTCACTCCATCTTTGGCCTCATCGTCCAGCAGTCTCCCTTTTGCTCACTCTATCCCACCCCCACTGGCCTCCGTGCTGTTTCCTGAACAGGCCACACACCCTGTCTCAAGATCTTTGCATTTAAAGTTACCTCTGCCTGCAATGCTTCCTATTAACACCCAGTATTTGCATGGCTTGCTCTTCCTCACTTCAGTTTCTGTTTAAACGTCACCTCATTGGAGAAGCCCTGCCCAAATACCAAATCTAAACCAGCTCCTTCCCAGCACTCCAGTCCCATTACCCTTTCTTATTCTTTGTAGCACTTAAACCAACAAATACTTATTTACCATCTGTTTTTCTCCAATAGAACATAAGATCATTACTCCATCTCCAGAGCCATAAAAACTGCCTGATGCAGTAAATTGTGGTTAAATGAATGGAAGCAGAGAGACTCGAGACACATTTTTGAGGGGGAAAGATTAGACCTGCTGATATTTCGGATGCTGGGGCAGGAAGGGGAGCAAGGAGAGGTCAACTGAGCATGGTACCTAGATCACTGAACATGAGCAACTGGCACCGTTGCATGAGAGAAGGAAGAATCGCTGATGCCAAAGGGGAAAGGGTCAAGTGCTGCAGAGCATCAAGAAGTGAACTAAAAAGCACCTGCTGGTTGGGAAACTGCATGTTCATTAAAGAGACATGGGGCAGGGAAAAAATAATAAATGTGGACTATATATAACAATGTGTCAATGTTAAATTTCATATTTAAATACAAAAAGAAATCTGTGTTTTCTAGATTTCTGAATTTGACCATTTGTGGTTATGTAAGAGAATGTTCTTGTTCTTCAGAGATTAATACTGAAAAATTTAGGGGTGCCAGATCTGGAATACTCTCAAATGGTTCAGCAAAAAAATAGTAATAACAAATGCAATAATGATGAGAGTACATATGGCAAAATGATTTTTAATTTTTATTTATTACTNTAGTAATAGTAATAACAAATGCAATAATGATGAGAGTACATATGGCAAAATGATTTTTAATTTTTATTTATTACTTAAAAAAAGAAAGGGAGGGGGAAGGAAGGGAAACAGAGAGAGAAACAATGAATATTTATATATTCATTGGTTGATTCTTGTATGTGCCCTGACTGGGGACTGAATCCGCAACCTTGGTGTACCAGGACAATGCTCTAACCACTGAGCAGAATGCCAGGGCTAAATGTGGCAAAACGTTAATAACTGTTGAGCCTCGTGGAGAGTACATGGACGTCCGTTATAAATTCTTGTGACTTTTCTATAGGTCTGGAATCTAAAATTAAAAAGATGAAGATAAATAAAAAGGTCACTGGTGGCATTGGAAAGAGCCGTGTCCTGTGGGTAGTAAGGGAACCGCTACAAGGGGTGAGGGCAGAATAACAAGGGACAGCAAGATGCCTTTCCAGAAGCTTAGAGATAAAGGAAAATGATGGAGGACAATCAAGGGGACAGGTGGTCAAGGATTTCTTAGGACGAGGCCCTTGAACATATCTCTCGGCTGAAAAAGAGCGAGGGGGTGGATCTCTGAGAGAATACAGGATAGAGAGAACTGTTAACTGAGGAAACAAGGCCCCAGAAGAGGTAAAAGACAACAGAATTGAGAGCAGAGGTTAATCTTAAGCAGGAGGAAAAAAAATCCTTCTTCCTCTGGGACAAGTAAAGCAGGTCAGAATGGCAATGAATTCAGTAAGCTGGGGTAGAGGCTGGAAGCAGGAAATTGGAGTTTATGACAAATGACCCTTTCCTTTAAGAGCAGGAGGCAAGGGAGTGTGATGAGCTTTTAGAATTTAAGGAAAAGGTGAATATTTAAAAAAGAATCAGGAAAGATAACCAAAGGTAAAATAATACCAAAAAGAAATGATAGCTCACACCTGAAACTAATATAGTATCGTATGTTAACTATAGTTGAAAAAAACTTTTTTCATTAAAAAAAAAAGTGATGACAGCTAAGACTGAAAACCATGATGACGAGAGTATTGCAACTATCTTCAGCAACAGTGAAACTGAAATATGACCCTGGACAGAGTGAAATATACAAACTCCAACCTTGACACTCCTTGTTTCTATCTTTACCAACCTATCACATTGTTTGGGGGGGAAAAGTGACAGCAAAATAGATAGTGATTAACATTACATAGATCCCTGACATGACCCTCTAAAACCAAGCAGCCTCTATTAGAAGAAATGGTTTATTCCCACCCAAGGGCCCCGGCTTCAGTGAAGTAAACCTCTGCCAAGTGCAGAGGGGAATTCCTCTTTACACTATCAATCCACTGAAGAAAAGAATGCTAACCTTAACCCCATAAGATGAGAGGTTTGAATGATAAGCCTGTTCCCTCCAGGCTCTGCAGCTGTCAAGTTAGCCAGTTCAACAAAACCCAAGGAGATGAAGCAGCTTCACCCCTAGAAAGGGGAGAGGAAGAGGATTCCTCTGCTCCTCTATAAGACAGAGAGAAAACTGTTGCTTCAGAGTGGCTCCAAACCATTTTGCAATCCCCAATGTTAATGACTGATTCAGGGAAGAATCATCAGTGGGTGCTCAAACCACTAAGTAAAACAAAGGCTTTTAGGAAATAAGATCACATGGTCCCAAAGTATCACCCCACAGATTGTTTCTTACATAAAGAAAAAAAGGTCCCCTTATAATCAGTAGGTCTGGCAGACAGCCTTAAACAAGGGATCAAACACAGCATTACCAACAGTGGAAAAGCAGACATCACATGCCTTCTGAGATGATGGTGGGAAAAAAGTAACATTTCCCATATAGTGTTCTTGGCAAAAGTGTTTAACCCAAATCTAATCATCAGCAAACAAGAAGACAATTCCTCAGAAAACAGAATGTTTTACAATTCAAGTGTCCTCGGCTCTTAAAAAAGTCAGTGTTTTGAAAGACAAGGAGAAAAAAAAGCAGAGGGACTTGATTCAGGAAGCTAAGAGACATGAGATTCAAACACAATATATGAATCTTGAATTGGTCCTGGATTTAAGAGGCCACTATAAAAGTCATTTGGGAACAACTGAGAGAATTTGCATATGGGAAATTCTGTTATATTCTGTTCAATGTAAAATGTCTTGGGTGTGATAACAGGACTCTAATCTTGGAAGAATGCCCTTATTAAGAGATACACAGATGCTAAAGGGCTTGGCATGTGTCATGTTTTCTGCAGAAAAGTATATGTGATTCAGACGCACATACATACATGTAATAATGCAAATGGTAAACTATTATGAAAAATTTTTAAACACTAGTCATAAAGGTGCCCCTAAGATGTTGGTAATGTTTTATTCCTTGATCTGGGTGGTGGTTTTACACAGTTGAGTTCATATTATAATAAATCACTGAGCAATACACTTATGATTTATGTATTTACTATGTGAGTTAAAAAAAACTAAAAAAAAAAAAAAAATGAATGCACTAGGCAGCAAGTGTTACACAAAACCAGTGTACACTAAGTTGTTATGTGTATGAAGAAAGGAGTATTCACATAATTGAATGTGTTCCCACCTTCCAGTCCTCTCAAAAAAGGACTGCTGAGCTACACACCTCGGAAGAGCTTCTGGGCGATGTGCAGAGGGTTTCCAAAGCGGAAGTTCTCCCCACTGAACAGGGCCAGGATGAGCTGGCTCTGCTGCTCAATACTGTCTTCAGGAAAGTGAGGCAGAAACTGCTGGAGGTGTTCACGTTGAGAGTCGCTCAATACTTCTTGCCACGTTGAAAGGCTGACCACATCAAAGAATATCTCGGGCTAGGAGAATTAGGAAAAGCAGGAGAAAAGTAAACAAGAGAAAAATAAGTTTTTAAGTTTTCTGCATGAGTGGTAAAATACACATAACATAAAACTTACCATTTTATTAATTTTTAACTGTACGGTTCAGTGGCATTAAGTACATCTCAGATATGCAACAATCACCACCATCTAAGTTTTAAGTTTTTTAAACAAATTAAAATTCCACTGATCTTTACTCAATTCTCAAGACAGAGATTAGTAAAGACTACATATAAACCAAAGTCTTATACCCAACAGTAAATAATAATGCAAAGGAAAATAATCTCAGTAGAGAGAACCCCATTTAGAAACCATTCCTGCCAAAGAGACACACAATGACAGACATCTGAGTTCAGCTTAAAATGAGAGGCAGGAAAAAGTTAACACAGTAGGAGAAAACTTGAGGAGTTGAGGTCCTCAAGATCTCAACTAAGAAGCAGCAGGATGGAGTTCTTTTTCAACTCAACAATTATATACTGGACACCTTCTATGTGCTTCGGACTAAGACAGTCTAGTACTGCATACATATTGTCTGGGATGTGAGAAAACTTAAGCAATTACAACGTAGCTTAAGAAGTTTACCTATAAGCACACAGAAGCAGCACACATCCAGGCTGCAGGTTTCAGAGAACACCGACCAGAGGAAGTGACATTTAAGGTAGTGAGGGGTAAGGAAAAGGAAAAAAGATGCTGAAGCAAGAGGGATGAAAGCCCAAGGACAAAAAGAATTCAGGCAATGTGTGGCTGGCACAAGGACAGGGAGGGAAGCAGCAGGCAGCAGCAAGAGGAGCAAGGAACCTGCACGCATGTTAAGTAAGTGCGACTTTATCCTAAGGACAATGGAGAGCCACCACAGGGTTTAAGCAGGAGCAACTCCAAAACCCAAACACTTTTTAGGTGTCTCTGCATGGGTGTACCAAAGCACTTCAGGCTCGGGGTCGAACATCTTCCCCTGCAAACCTATTTGTGCTCATCACTTTATTCCTAGCATCTCAGGGTCTGGCATAAAGTAGGTACTTAATGCAACAAGTGTTTGCTGACTGACATAAGGAAATTTACTTGAAAGCATATGCAAAGAAAACATGGAAGGATATATACCAACTTCAGCTGGGAGAGGGAAAAAGCTAAGGGCAAAATGGAGGCTTTAATTTTATCTAAAACGTTTGACGTATTATGAAAGAAAAATCTGCACGAAATACGGCTAAATTATCTCCTCAAACTGGATGATGCACACATGAATGTCAGCTTTACGACACTACGCCTGTCTATGTCTGAAATACAGCAAAATAAACAAGATAAATAAACGGATGTTATAGCACACCCAGTGCCTTGCACATACTGAGCACTTAATAAATGGCAACCACCTTAATGATAATGATTACAGAGCCTGTCTGTGAAAGTGGCCAAAGCATGCTGATACGCTATCCCCAGGAACATACCAGTAACTGACAAGAGGGTTACCTGATAGACAGAGATAATGTCTGGGTTTGGTTTCATGATTCACAACATGGGTAATCATTTTAATGTAAACATATACATAACTCTGCTCTTACAATACAAAATTGCTTGTTCATTGCTGAAAATTATCTTGTTAAAAATAGCGCTTGTATCCTATTATCAAGTTATGCTATTAAACATGCAGAATGTAACTTATCATTCTTCGTTAACCAGAATATTCAATACACTACCCACAAAAGACCGAGATCATTCTGGCTGCAATGTAGAAAATGAAAAAGAGAGAGTAAAATGACTGAAAAGTGTTAAAACATGGCTGTGGGAAAAGTTGGTGACAACGCTGCAACTCACATCCTCCAGAAGGTCCTCTGGCAGACTAACCCTGGTGTCACCCAGGAGGCAGTCCTCCATAATACGTGCGCCATGGCCATCTCCACATGGACCCAGTTCCAGAGGATCCGTCAGCATATGGTCCAAGGAATCCATTCTTTTATGTTCCACAGGTAATCTAGACAAATATATGCAGTCACACCTTGAGACAGAAAGGCAGAAATTCCAGGGATATGGTTAACACCCTCCTTCAGAAAATATTCTGGCCCAGAAAATATTCAATCTCAAATCTACTCTTATGCTTTATCTTCACACCCTAACTACAGCTAAACAGCTCTCTCCCTCCCTCCCACCACAGCCTTTTCATCTGAACATTCAAATCTTTTCAGGTCTCTCCTTACTCAGAATGCTTCTACAGTAGCTCCCAAATTTATAGAATTTCTTCTAACTTCACTTTACACATAAGCAAAATGAGACTCAATAAACAGATCAACAGAGTCCATAATTTAGACTTCTCAGGCCAATCATCTCTCCACTATAACATAATTTAACACTTGTTTTTTTAGCAATTAAGTCTTTTCTTCTTTTACAAAAGAAAACCCACTGAAAATCCATATAGATTAATGAAGCACAGACACTAACAGTAAGTTATTTAATGAGGGCCTATTAAGAGCCAGGGGTTTCATATGTCTCACTTAATTCTTACAATTGTGAAAGACAGGGTTATTATATCTGTTCTACAGATATTAAAACGAGAATCAAAGTAGACAAGTAACTTGCCCAACTAGCAGGACTGAGGCTCAGGTCTGCCTGACTGCGAATCCAGTTCTTAATACTGTACACAATACGTCCTATATAAATTCACAATTTAAATCATAAAAAAGGAGCCTCTTAATATGACTTTATTAATCCAAATAAACTTGAGCCTCCAAGAACCTGACCATGACAACCAGTAAAGTAATGGCCAACTCACCTTTCGTTGGTCCATCTGACATTTACAACCATGTAAATGTAATGCTGTTTCCTCCTTCCTATAATAACTGACCACAGCTGGCCACCTTTAGAAAAGTGCATATTGAAACATTTCAGAGACTATTTCATACGGCTGATGGCTAGAATCAGTGTGAAGCTGAGGCCACCGGACTGAACGAAGCTAACAGGAACAAGGGGCTTGAACTCAATCACTCTAAAAACATTTGCTAAGTCCACTTTCTGTTTCCTATCCCTACAAAATGGGCTAACAAGCACAGTAAAATGGAAAGGAAAAAATAACCAGTCAAAACACGAAACTTCTAGCCTAATGTCAGTGACTTTGGGGAAATCTTACCTTACTAGGTGTCAGTTAATGAAGAGACCAATCCTGGATTCCTGCGAATAACCTCTAGACGGAGGGCATTTTATATGACCTAGTGTGGTCATGTACTGCAGTAACGACTTCTCATTCTGAAACTCTCAAGTGACGGGAGAGCAAACCTGCAAAATCACCACCAAAAATGAGCACCTTCCCCCTAAATTATTTCAAGTTATCTTGAAGAGGTTTCAGATCTATGTAAGATCCAGCCCCTAGATGAGTGCTGAACAAGCAGCTGCGTGGTCCCCCAGCCACCACGCGCCTTCAGCCGCGGGGAATCACCATCTCCTGAACACTCCCTGTGCTTCCAGAGCTGAAGCAGGTGAGAAAGCAGCGACATAGGTGTTTAACAAAACCTTCAAGTAGAAAGAAAGAAAAAATGTAGAAGCAACCTGATGCTTAAAGTCCTTTTAAAAGAACTGGCATAGAGCAGGGCAATAACTCAAAGCCAGTTGTTGCTCTGACTCAGGAGGATCACCTGTTTCACAGCCTGCTCACAAGTGTCTTCAATTCCGTGCAAGGGCCGCTAAACTGCATCTCACCCGGCCGCAACCTTTGCCCTGCTGCTCTTCCGAACAGGCGCCCCGAACGCGGCAAGCGGGCGGCCGCCGGGGTCGGGACC